GTTTTGTTCTATAGCGTGCAAGTATTACCCCGAACGGTTCAATGCCAAGCATAGGCCTAGAAATTGTCTGCCTCGACCCAAACCCAACGAGCTCCATCGTTAACCATAGTTTTGGAGGTCCTTAATCCAGAATTGGCGAGAGGGCTCAAATAGTCTCCAACAGTTGAAGTCCAGATCAGGAAATCTGATTTCACGCCGTTGAGTGTCAATGTAGAGGAAGTTGAAAGCACGAATCGCAATGCAAATCATCTGATTGGAAAAACACTATAGTGTTTTTTTTTTTTGCAATTTCCCTTTCCTGAGTCTATTATTGAGATCCGTCCTCCGTTTGCGGTTGCCGTTCATAATTATGTAAAGAAAAACTTGTTTAAAAATCTAGTATGTTTGGTCAGCCACGCTGAAGTATGGACAGGGATAAACCACGCCGCGTTATGGATATATCCAACAATGGTTCATTTACTCGGATCTTTGGATCGGGGTGTGAAATTCCCTTGGGAAAAGTCCAAAACAAACCCTGAACTCGTAGGCTCTAGCTAAATCGAACCCCCAACTCACAATCCCCGAAATTGACACTCTGAACTCACTAATCCTGGTCTAAATCGAACCCTGAGTGCCCTTCCCAAACAGGGATTGCTGACGTGGCTAGTAGCAGCCGGGATTGCTAAATTTTTTGGTGGAAAGTGAGAGAGATGGCCGGTTCGGTGCGTAGAAAGGTGGCCCGGCCCACTTCGAGAGCCCATCCAACGAAGCAGTCGAGGAGGCGCCCCCCTGTATTCTTCTCTGCTCCCGCGACGGCAATGGCGGGAGGCGAGTGATCGACGGCGGCGGCGACGATCTAGCCGGCGCGCGACGGCGAGCGACGGGCTAAGGTATGTGCACGACGTTCTCCTCCTCTTGGCACTGTTTTTTTGACCTTTGCACACAACATTAGGGTTAGGGTTTTAGGCGGGGATTTACAGTATTTTGTGGAGGGAAAGGAATGATTTTTATGTGAATAGGGTATGTTTTTTGTATTCGAATTGTGAGTTGGGGTTCGTAGTAGTAGTGCGGGCAAGTGATATTTTTCTGTTTATTTCAGTTTCATCATGGATCCGACGGAGATACTGAACGTGAGATTCCATTTTGGTGGCGAGTTCATCAGTATGGGGCCAAATTTGCAATATGTTGGGGGGGATGATGAGATGTCAGAGATTGAGAGGGATAAGTTGTCACTGCAGGAGGTGAAAGGGTTTCTGAAAGATCATATGCAGTTGAAGGAATCAATGAAATTTTATTTTCAGATACCTGGGAAATCAATGGAAGATGGCTTGATGTTTCTGAATGATGACAGTAAATGTGTCCAGATGGGAGAGTACACTGATGTGGGAGGAGTAGCTGACATATATGTTGAGTATCATGGAGAGGAGGACAGTGAGCATAGTAGCAGTGGGAGTGATTTTGAAAATGATGAGATGATGGAGGTACTTGATGCTGATGATGAACCTGACATTGTCATCACATCAGAGCATGTTATGGTTCCTGATGATACTGGTGTGATCACTCAAGTAATTTCTGTGAGTCAGTTGACAACAACTTGTGTGAATCTTTCAATCATGCCATTATTGAAGCAAGGTTCTATCCCTTAATCTCAATGCAAGAGAAGATAAGAAAGAAAATTTTAGCTAGAATTCAGGAACAAAGGGAGAAAGGTGCAAGGTTTCATGGGAAAAAATGTCCAAGCATATTTAATAAGTTGAAAAGCAGCATAGCAAGGACACAGTTCATGGAGGTGCTCTGGAATGGCAAAGATGGCTTTGAAGTGAAATTACTAACTGGAAGGAAAAGGCAGTACAATGCCAGCAAAATTTACAATGCCAGCAAAATTTCATGTCCAATTGACAGAAATAGCATACATTCCAAATGGCAGCAAATATACCAGTCAAATTGACATAATTATATAGCTTGATTTTTATTGACTGCCAGAACACATGTTCATACATAACAACCCAGATCACAAATTCCATTACAAACCATTGCATACTAACTTCAAAATGACTACAGTGCATACTAACTTCACTTGCCAAACTGACATTCAGTACACTAGCATTTTCCCAACAACTACACCCACCACAAACACAATGAAAACCATCACCACATTCCTATATTTCCGGTTCATTGCTTCCAGCTCTGCATTCCTCTCCTTTAACTCAAGCTCAAGAGCCATAACCCTTGATGCATCATGTCCAGGCATAAGCACATTTGGGCACTCCTCTTCAGTCTGAACCACAGATCTTTGACCCTTTAGCGTCCACACCTCATCTCTCAAATCTCCAATCAAGTCACTAAAAAACTTGGGCAAAGGATCATCATGCCACTCCACATAGCCACATCCACCATGCTATTCAACAAAAATGAGGCAAGAACAAGAAATCAATCAATTTCAGACAAAACCAACAAATGAGCAGAAGAGAATGGATATGAGCACTCAAATTGGGGCTCACCATTGCATCTACGCACGCGTAGTACCTCCTGCCGGGATTTTGACGGCTCCATGAGATCCATCTCGGCGCCTTCCGTGGTTGTCTGCAGTGGCACAACTTTGGCGGCTCGTACGCCATTGGGCTCTCCCTGTAAGCGACCGGAGACCTCGAATCCATGTCCCTCCTTCCACTGGCGCGACGGAAGCCGGGGGCGGAAGAAGCCCCGGAAGTCCACGACATCGCGGCGCCGCCGCTCTGCGCCCCGTCGCCCCTGCCGCCGCTAACCCTAGCTTCTCCCTCCCCAAATTTCCCAGTCTAGCGCCGTGCTCTGCTTCAGTAACCACTGGCTGGCCCGCAAGTAAGGTCAATCCCGGTTGACTAATGCCACGTCAGCGTTTTTCCCACTAAAACGCACTCAGGGTTCGATTTAGACCAGGATTAGTGAGTTCAGAGTGTCAATTTCGGGGATTGTGAGTTGGGGGTTCGATTTAGCTAGAGCCTACGAGTTCAGGGTTTGTTTTGGACTTTTCCCAATTCCCTTGGTCCTTGCTCCATCCCGCGGCTCCTGACACCAGGAGTCAACCGTCCGGCAGATGCGTTACGAACGACCCTAATTACTCCACGATGCTCATGCATGCATCTAAGCCGTCCGATGCTCACCCTCTGCGGAGCCATTGATTAACTCCGTATGCACACGCACTGCACCGCATCCAACCACGCTCTGAAATGAAATCTCAGCGCTGCACGCACACTCCACGTTACAGCGAGCAGCTGGTAGGACACAGGGTCGACAGTGATACTAAGCACGGAGAGAGCACGTACGACGTGCAACAGTGTGACGCCTACAGTGGCACGTATTATGATATCGGTGTGTGTCAATCTGCAAAAGGCTCGCGGGCAGTAACTACGACGCGTGGGACGGACGAGAAGAGCCGCGTGAGGAGGACAAAAGTCGCGGTACCCGTCCACGGGATCAGTGCACGCTCCCTCACGGAGAGTACGTGTGCCGGCCAGCGGTGGCGTGCTGCGGCAGGCACCACCGGCACCGGACACGGCCCCAAATTCACCACACCAGTGCTATGAACGTTACTGGTAGTAGTAGTAGTAATTAACTACGTCCATGCACCTGACACTGACAGTTCCTGTTCCCGCCTCACAGAAAGGTCACTCAACAGTCCACGGACTCGAAGTCTCGAACCAGTATAGGAATCGTAACGAGCCAGTCAAGGTGTCAAATCAGATAATTTTTGTGCCTTGCTCCGGGTAAGATAGTTTAGGGTTTTACCTTCGCAAAGGTGCCTTGCTCCGGGTAAGATAGTTTAGGGTTTTACCTTCCCAAAGGTGCCTTGCTCCGGGTAGGATGGTGGGGAGGAGAATTTTGGTGCCTTGCTCCGGGTAAGATAGTTTAGGGTTTTACCTTCGCAAAGGTGGCACATATTCTCCTTTTTCGGTTTATAGGGCGTATTTCAATTTTTTTTGTTTTTTGTAATTTAAAAGCTCATCTCCGTCCCATTTTTAGTTTTTGAGGCGCATTAGATCATTGCATGCAAGAATTAAAAAGAACACACCAATGCATGTAATATTTCTATCCATCTAGTGGCCAAGCATGCATGCATCGCAATTAATTTAAATTAATGCATGAGTTTAACTTGAGTAGTAGTTTTTTAAAGTACGAGATGCGTTTCTTCACTCACAAAATGTCTTGATTAATGAGATTTCAGATTTGAATCCTACAAACCGAAAAAAAGAGAGTATTAGAGTCAGTCTTTCGCGATTCGATCCTGCTTAAATTTGTCCATCGAAACGGATTGGATCGAGCTTCCGACGTAGATTGACGCCGGCTCCCCGAGGCTGCATAGCACAACACAGTACAATGAACGCAACTGGCAGAGGTAATTAACTACTACGTGCATGCACCTGACAGTCACTGTTTCCGCTTCACAAGAATGGCCACTCAACAGTCGACGGACTCCACCCACTTGGAATTGCTAACGAGGCAAGTGATCAATCATAGAGCGTGTCAACTCACAAGGATTTTGCCTTGATTTTATTAGCACTAGCAGTATACGAAAACAGGGGACACCGCCTTTCGCGTCGCCCTCATCCTGCCATCCCGTCGCCGACTGGCCGGCTGGCCGGCGTGTGTGCCAGTGCCAGAGAGACAGACAGGCCTAGCTAGCTCGCCAAGCCAATGCATGCCACCGCGGGGAGTAATTGGTTGGGCGTTGGCCACCGCAGGCCGCCACTGGTGCCCGCCCCGATCGCATTAATCCCCACCTCACCGGCGCCCCGCCCCCGACGCGACGCGGCCATGTTCGCCACCACCACCACCTCCACCACCCCCAGTAGTTGAGCCGCGTCCCTCGCGTGCGCGCACCCACGTACATCTCGCACCGCGCCACCAACCGCGTGCCGCACCCGCCTATATATCCCGCCCCCGCCACGCCTGCCCCTGCCACTGCCACTGCCACACTCCCTCGCACTCGCCAGTCACCACCTCGACCGACGCAGCCAGAGCGCGCCGACGACGGACGCACGGCCATGGAGCTGCTGCCGCTGCTGACGGTGCTGCTGCTGGCGCACGCGGCGGCGTACCTGGCGTGGCAGGCCGTGGCGCGGCGGCGGCGGGCGCGCTGCTACCTGCTCGACTTCGCCTGCCACAAGCCCTCCGACGACCGCAAGGTGACCACCGAGATGGCGGGCGCCGTCATCGAGCGCAACAAGCGCCTCGGCATGCCCGACTACCGCTTCCTGCTCAAGGTCATCGTCAACTCCGGCATCGGCGAGCACACCTACTGCCCGCGCAACGTGCTCGACGGCCGCGAGGAGTGCGCCACCCACTACGACGCGCTCGAGGAGATGGACGCCTTCTTCGACGACGCCGTGCGCGGCGTGTTTGCGAAGACGGGCGTGTCGCCGCGGGACGTGGATTTGGTCGTGCTCAATGTCGGGTCCTTCTCGCCGGCGCCGTCGCTGGCGGCGCGGGTCGTGGCCCGGTTCGGGATGCGGGAGGACGTGCAGGCCTACAACCTGTCCGGCATGGGGTGCAGCGCGGGGCTCGTGTCCGTGGATCTCGCGCGGCAGGTCATGCTCACCCGCCCGCGCACCATGGCGCTGGTGGTCACCTCCGAGTCCTGCGCCCCCAACTGGTACAACGGCACCGACAAGTCCATGATGCTCGGCAACTGCCTCTTCCGCTGCGGCGGCGCCGCCGCGCTGCTCACCAACGACCCGGCCTACCGGTCCCGGGCCAAGATGGAGCTGCGCTGCCTCGTGCGCGCGCACATCGGCGCGCACGACGACGCGCACGCCGCCGCCGTGCACTGCGAGGACGCCGACGGCCGCCTCGGCGTCAGCCTCAGCAAGGCGCTCCCCAAGGCCGCCGTGCGCGCCTTCAGCGAGAACCTCCAGCGCCTCGCGCCGCGCATCCTGCCGGCCGCCGAGCTCGCGCGCTTCACCGTGCGCCTCCTGGCGCGCAAGCTCATGCGCCGGAAGCTCAAGTTCGAGGGCCCCAAGATCAACTTCAAGACCGGGGTGGACCACTTCTGCCTCCACCCCGGCGGGACGGCCGTCATCGAGGCGGTGAGGAAGAACCTGGGCCTCAACAGCTACGACGTCGAGCCGGCGACCATGACGCTGCACAGGTGGGGGAACACGTCGGCGAGCAGCCTGTGGTACGTGCTCTCCTACATGGAGGCGAAGCGGCGGCTCAAAGCAGGGGACAGGGTGCTCATGGTCACCTTCGGCTCCGGGTTCAAGTGCAACAGCTGCTACTGGGAGGTGAGCAAGGACCTCGACGACGCCGGCGCCTGGGAGGACTGCATCGACGACTACCCGCCGGAGACCATGGTCAACCCCTACACGGAGAAGTTCGGATGGGTCAACGACCTGCAGGGCCAGGGAGGCGCCTTCCCATTCTAACCTCCAATTATCTGATTTTACTTTGGATCCTAAATTATTATTGATTATTTCAGAGTTAAAGAAAAACTCGTAGAAAATTATTTTAAATCAAGGGGGTATGTGTATGGTGTTTTTTTTTTTTCGTTTACGATTTTTCTGTTCGCCCCGTTGATACGAATTTACACTTGTAAATAGTTAGTCTGCATATATATGTGTATGTACGACTGTACGTGGATCCACGATGGATCGTGTTCTGAACAAAAAATTTGTTCGGGTATACTTAGAAGAAATAAAAAGTAAAAACAGAGTGTGCACAGGAAAAGTGAACAAAGGCATTGAAGTCTGCGTGTATTTGTTACTTTCTGATTTTAGATGGGTCAACAACCTGTATTGAGACTTCAAATTTTGTAAACAAATTCTTAATCAAAGAATATGTCTTTGGTTATTTTTTTTCCTATCAATTTTTTTCTTCTAATTTGTCTACTTCATACGAATTTGAACCTGTAAGTGTTTATGTCGCAAATTGCATACTCATGTTCCAATTTGTTCAAAACACTTACATGTATATTGTTGTGAACAAAATTCTAATTTGTCTACTTCATACGGATTTGAACCTTTAATGTTTCTTACACATCGCCGGTAGGTATATTGTTGTGAATAGAATTTTGTTCTCATATTCATGGCCTATGTGTAGGAAACACAAAATAAAATGAGTCTTATATGAAAAATCAGCAAGGACATTTAGTACATGCATATTTGTGCAAAATTTGACTTTGAGTAGGAAACGTCGTACACCATGAATGATTTTAAGATCACTACCTAGCCCACGAGGAATAAACAATCCCAATTATTACTAATAAGGACAACCAACTAAACATGCATGACAAGGATCTCATGCATCAAATACATGCATAATGGGAAATGTGGAAGGTAACGTACTTTATTCTACAGCATTCATGATAAATGTCATCGCCCGTCGATTTTCTCAACTACCAATCAGTATAAAGCAAGTCTCCTGTGTTAATGTCCAGAGCTTTACTCAGATTTTTTTTCAAAATAGCTTGATCTTAACACATTTTTTACTATTATCATATAAACAATATGACACCCACAAAGCTTCATACCAATTTCCAGGTAGCACAAGATACAAATCTTGGTTTATATAATGGATGAAAATGGACCGCATCTTTATATGATATTTTAATAATTTTAATAGCATGCATGCTCCAGAAAACTTTAATTCTTGATCAATTAATATGAGAAACTAAGATCGGAGAGTCTTAAAATACATGCTTTTATAAGTGCTACGGTGCAATGTTACTATGTATTAAATATATAGTCAAAACAAAATTTAAAATGAAATACCCCTCAGGTTAATTATTATGCTGTTATTAGGAGATTAAATACACAATTAATATACAATTTTACGAGATTCTCGTCTAGAGCTAAACTATTAATGATAATAAAAAGAGCTACTTACGTAAGAATATGCCAAACAAAATGCATTGCTCGTGTAGAAAAAGAAAAAAAGACCGAAAACAGTAGAAATATAATGAACTGTTTGTCTAGATCCATGTTAAATTTCTCGCAGAAGAGTGGGAAGGATTTTATAGAAGCATTTTTATTTAAAATTCAATCGATAGGGAAGTAGAACAAAACTAATTCGATGAAGATTCACTGTAATGTAACAATAAACGTGAACAGAGAGGGACGCTAGCAGAGCTTCCAATCCTCTGAGAAACATCATAAGTTATTATATAATTTTCTTCCATTATTAAACAGATGAAAGTTGGTCACACATTTATATATATTTCTCGATGAATCTTTTTAAATCCAATTATTTTCCATGTAATTTACTCATAACCTCTACTTGCAAATATGCACTGCATCGAATCACAGTATATGAGGTGCTAACACACCGCGAAGTGTAAGTTTCACCATCAATGATGAGAACATCACTACTACTATTACACCCACATCCCCTACCGTTACACATGTTAAGTCCATAGAAACAAGGACCAAACAATAGAGGTCGCAAACGCCAATAAAACTGTTAGGTACATTCATTTTGAAGAATTACTTCTAATGTTCATGAGAATAGGATGCTGCATAAATTAGATTTTTTGTATTGCTTAGGAATAAAGGACCTTCTTGGATAAGAGATATGAGAAGTGGAGCAAGATCAAGCATGTAGATCAAGATGGGCATGTAGGGAACGCCAAATGGAGCTTCATGTGGAGATTTCAGGACTTTGGCGCCACCATGATGACATATGAAGACATGAGTGAAATATAAAATATGACAATGCCATATTTTTCTCCATAGCCTGCTGTAAGTATTGTGCCACCATTAATTTGGGCCAAGCCCATGTAATTTTGAAATGCATGACCATACACGTTTTTAGAATCTGTATTGGTGGAGGAAACCACCTTATGCTAATTTTGCCCCCCTCACAGAGCTAGCCGAATTTCCCCTTTGTACCTCCATAGATATCGTTCCTTGGCCATCACATAGACTCTGGTTTTGTTTAGTTAAAAGTTCTTGATTGTTGCAACTTGTTCATTTGTATCCAATGACCAAGCCAAGAACGCTTATGGAACCCCAACTTTCATCAATACTTCCACTTTATCAACAATATCCATATTGCAAATATAAGTATTGCCTGGTCTTCTATTGCTTGTAGGAATTAGACCATCAAGGTCATATTTATCGTGTCCCGACATGGTCAATAACCTTTCAGAGTTGATTTAGTGATTCCTAAGGTGGAGCTTCGTCACATGTTATAGTCAGGTCTTCAAAGTCCAATTCACCCAAATTGAAATTATCCATTAGTCAATTTTATTAAAGAAACATTTGGGTAAGAGCAACTCCCACAGATTCCTAGACAACCACCCTCTAAAATGGTTTTAGAGGTTTTGGATCCTGGTGCCTTATCAATTTCCCTAAAACTATTGCCTCTATATTTTTGCATCTGTTGTTTATCTTAATATGTGTGTATATGGACTCCATTTCAACTCTGATTCCACATGGATATATTCCAGTGTCACACAATTCAACAATATTTCAAATTTATACTTTTGAAATATGCAATTCCAATTTCAAACAAGACATGTTCCAACCGCATGGTACTACTAAGCAAAGATATGCCCAAATGCATGATAAACATAGTTCTAAATATAGATTGTTCTTCTTCTATTCAAACTCTATTTCTTCTTGATCCGATTCCAAGTACCTCTTGTGCTTCTATCTTTGTGGTTGATAACCCACAAGTATATGTGATCAATTGTAGTTTTTTTGATAAATAAGAGTGAACAACCCAATGAGAAGCTAAAGGTAGAATCAATATTCCCTTGAATTCCTATCAACCACCGATACAACTCTACACACATTTAACGTTCGCTTTACCTAAAACAAGTATAAAACTAGAAGTACTTTGTAGGTGTAATGGGATAAGTTTGCAAGATAATAAAGAATGAGAAAATAAAAGTTAGGTGATGTTCTAATAAAAGTACAATTAAATTAGTATAGCGAGTGCGGATTAGTGGTGGTATGATTTGCGGGATTGTCCCTAAGAAATTGGCTAAGTTACTAGACCGATAGCAAGTTTTTACGTGGGAAAGGCCTCTGCTAGCATGTCATCCCTTACTTGGAATTCTATGGACTTATGATTGAAACTATTAGCAAGTATCCGCAACTACTAACGTTCATTAGGTTAACAGCCAACCATAACATTAAGATATATTGGTCCCCCTTCAATCCCGTATGAATCAATTTCTATGGTAGGAAGAAGCTTATGTCATTCTTGCCCTCCAATGCATAGCCCTATCAACATACAAGTAATCCTATAGTGTGATGCACACGTGTGCTCTTATGATGGGCACCAAAGGACAACAACATAATCACAAGCAAATTAAACCAATCATAGCAATTCACCAATCACTCATCGGACAACAAAAATATACTCAAACATCATAGGATGGCAACACATCATTGAATAATAATATGAAGCATAAAGCACCATATTCAAGTAGGGGGTACAACAGGTTGCAGAATAGTGGACCGCTGATAATAGAGGGGGGAGGTGATGGAGGTGTTGGTGAAGATGACAGAGTTGTTGGAGTAGATCACCGTCACACGATGATTGCCCCGGCGGCGTTCCGGCGCCACCGGGAGAGAGGGGGAGAGAGCCCCCTCCTTCTTCTTCTTCCTTGGCCTCCCACTAGATGGGAGGAACTTTTCCCCTATAGTCCTTGGTTTCCATGGCGGCGGAGGGGAAGGAGCCCCTCTGAGATTGGATCCCTCTCTCTGTTCTCTTCTGTTTCGCGTTCCCGTTTTCTAGCCTCTCACCGTTTCTTAAATTTCGGAGATCCGTAACTCCGACAACCAACCCTTTTTTGACTAGGGAACTAGAGAATTCCCACTACCACTGGCAGGCCAGCCGTGCCGTGAGCGCGTGGGAACGGGCTTCCCAAAAAGGGAGCCCCGGCCCGGGTCAGCATTTGGCTGAAATTTTGAGGGAATATTCTTCGAGATATTATCATTGTTGCGGCGAAAGAAGGGCACCAACCGCCTTACAAGGGCGCCACAAGCCTGCCAGGCACCCCTGGGGTAGGGGCGTGCCCCATGGGCTTGTGTCCCCCTCGGGCATCGTCTCGCGTTGATTCTTTTTCCCAAAAATCACATATATTCTCAAATAAATCTCCATAAATTTTTATCGCTTTTGGACTTCGTTTGATATGGGTATTCCACGAAACAAAAAACATGCAACAAATAGGAACTGACATTGGTCACTGAATCAATATGTTAGTCCCAAAAATAATATAAAAAGCTGCCAAAAGTATATGAAAATTGTAGAATATTGGCATGAAACAATAAAAAATTATATATACGACGAAGACGTATCAGTGATCGTTGGGGACAATCTACATGTTGTTTCGGTTCTCGTCGTCGAGACCTCCGCGTGTAGCCATCTTCATCATCGTCATAGTATGAGGAAATCACTATGATGACCATGCCCATCT